GGCCGCGCACACACACACACACACACACACACACACACACACACACACGCACGCTTAGGGCAAGTCTACACTACAAAATTAAGTCGACCTAAGCTATGTCGACGTACAGGAATTAAATCACATTTGCACATCCACACTATGCGCCTTGTGTCCATGGTGCACGTCCTCACCGGGAGCGCTTGTATCGATTTAAGGTGCAGGGCATTGTGGGATGGCTTCTGAAAGGCAGCCACAGTCGATCTAAGCAATGCAGAGTCTACACTGACACTGCATTCACCTAACTACATCGACTTAAGCTCGCGGAGGTGGCATTACTAAGTCGGCCTAGTAGGCAAATTACATTGGTGGGAGTGACATTTTAGTGTAGACGCTTACAGAGTTAGGTCACTGTAAGCTGCCTATCTCAGAGAACTGGAAGAGACCTTGAAAGGTCATCGAGTCCAGCCCCCTGCCTTCACTAGCAGGACCAAGTACTGATTTTGTCCCAGATCCCTAAGTGGCCCCCTCCAGGATTGAACTCACAACCCTGGATTTAGCAGGCCAATGCTCAAACCACTGAGCTATCCCTCCCCCCGTATGGCAATGTAAAACCAAGTTCCTTAATACAGGTTTATAATTCCTTGTGAAGATACAGCGTCTGTGGGTGAATGCACCAGCCTGGCACCTTTTGGACAGCTGGCTTCAAATCTAGCCAGGAGCACACGTGATCTCAGATTGGGGGCATGGGGTCTCAACCTTATTTGTTCCCATTAGAGGCAAAACCAACATGCAATGTGACATCACCGACTGTCTCTTCTTAGACCTAGGACTGAAACGGTGACCAAGGTGCACTGGCAGAATTGTGTGGGAGTCCAGAGCATTCCATTGTCAGAGCTGTGCGGGGATTAGTGGAGATTTGGGTCTGGCAGAGCTGGGGGGGTGGGGGAGGGCTGTGGGAACCTTAGTGCATTAATTCAAGATATGGCCACAATCATCTGGGACACTCTGAAAATCTGGACCCTAAGGAACCAGTTATAATGGGACCCCGGGGTTGATGGCTTTAGGACCCCAGGCATGAATCCATCCGTGTTTCATGAGCCAGTGCCTCCATTTAATATTTAACTAGCCCCAGCACCAGGGATCCCGCTTCAGGCCCCTGTTGATCAACCCATGTAGCTAATTGCCGAATTAATGAGCCCTTCGCTTTGCCTTTCCCGTGACACCGAGCAGCTGCTGAGGAGCGTTTCGCCGCACAAGAGGAATTCCAGCCACGTGCTGGCCAATGGACTTCACAGTACAGCACTTGCCTGCGGCATCGCTCCACATCTGGGTCCTCTCGACAGTACTGCAGCCCTCCGTTCCTCAGGGCGTCCTCTGGATTGGCGAAAGCCTGGAAGAGAGAATTGCCGTCTCAGAGGCGTGAGGAGATGCTTCCCACCAAGACTCATGGGGGCATCAGGCGTATAGCCCTGCGCAGATACGACATTTGTATCCGCATCCGATCGGCAGCTAGCCACGGATTTGCAGGGCTCCAGAGCTAGGACGCTCAGTGCAATCGAGTTTCCTGCACCATGTGAAGGTTGCTCACCGAATAGGGAGCCAGGAAACGGGGAGTTAATGTTCCCATGGCAAGGCCAGCTCCTCTGGACTGCACATAGCGTGTAGGAGGTGATCCCTTTCTGTTCCTCATTAAGTGTGCAGCTTTTACGCACAGTCTTGGGGCCCAGTCCTGCCAACTCCCCTGCACGTGATTAATTCAGTCACGTACTCAGGCCACTGGAGCATGCAAGTTGCTCTGACAAGCGTTTGCAGGATCCGGCTCTTTGGCTGAGACTGTCAGAGCTGCTTAGGGATATGGAGACCCAGGCCCAGCTCCTCAAAGGTATTTAGGGGCCTCATCTGCCTCTTTGGGCACCACTGACATGTTCAAAACAGCCCTCAGCTGCCACCCAGCCCCGTAGGTACCAAGATCCCTGTGGTGCTTGTGTTTCAACCAATCAGCATTTGAAATGCTGCCTAAGCCCTGATGCTGACCCACAGCTAGCAAGCTGCTCAGAGCCCTCACTCAAGCCTAAGCCACGCAGGGCCCAAAACACAAGAATGCCTATCCTGCCGATGGGACCCATCGGCGTGCTCTACCCAAAGACCCGATCCCTGTCAGACCCCATTGCAGGAGGGCTGGATACAAGCCGTCAATAGGTATGTGTGTGTGGAGGGGGGAGAGCACCGCTCCCCACAACGAGACAACTGGGGGCACAGGGAAAGCATGAGAGAAACACACACACAGTGTTGGCTTCTAGGGCATGGACTATCTGAGTGGCTGACTTGGCTTTGGAGCCTAGCTCCAGGAGATGGAGGCACCTATCTCTGACCTTCCAAGGGCACCAGGTCAGCTCTTAAGATATCTAAGCCCCCTCCTTGGCATTTCACTCCTGTCTAGCTTAGATGAGTTGCATTAGGCGCCTAATGCTCCCCGTGCATTGACCGGGGAGCCGAGGCTCCTAGCTTGGGGCTGAGAATTCCACTGGGCCTCCGGCTGCCTAGGCACCGCAATGCTGAGCAGAGCAATGTTGAAGTATCTTAGTGGGTACTGGGACCCAGATCTTCAAAAGTCAGTGGGATTTGGGAGAATCTCAGCCCTAGTGTTTATTGCACACAGCAGCAGTGACCGCTATTCCTCGGAGTTTCCATTCTCGCTCCCTTTTCCAGTTGCTTACGATACAGTCTGAAGCTTTCGCGGGCTGAGGTTTTCCAGACTTGGGGTGAAATTCTGGCCGCACTGGAGACAGTGCAAAACTGACTCCCGGGGGACCAGGATTTCACCCTTTTCACACATTTGTTTGGAGATTCAGGGAGGAGGAAGTGATTGTCTCAAAAGGCTGAACCGTATGCGAGGGTGAGAAGGAATCTACGTATTTCTAGTGCCATCATATTAACACCACCTTCAAACAGAGCCCAAGCATGGGAAAGCAAGACAGGTCTGAGCGACCAAGGTTGTAATCAAAGCCAAAGGCAACACCTGGGAGAGACAAGAATGATCAGATGCTGCTCCCCAGATGCCTGGGGTGGCACATTCAGCAGGGAACTGCCACAGAACATGGGATTGCCCCGCCCCCAGCCCTTCCACGCAGCTGTGTCTCCTGTCTGGGTCTGTACAGCCTCATGGGAGGACAGGGCTGGGCTGGGGGCAGTACAGCTGCACCAGAGGAGCTGCCGGCGTGGGGCTACCCAGCAACTCCATGTTCTGCTCCTTTCGCTGCTCTGGTTCCCAGGAGAGCCCGGCGGTTCAGAAATCGGTAGCCACTGAAATCGGTACCCAGTGCAGTGGGAGGACAGAGTCCCCCCTCCCCCCAGGTAACGTGGAATGGGGAGGGGACAGGGAGAGCTCAGGGCCCCCAGGCTGGGGACAGGGCAGAGAGGAGTCACATGGAGGAGTCATGTGGGGGGGTGTCACGTGCCCCCCTTTAGCTGGTGTCCCTCTTTGTGTGCCACCTATGATCAAAGCCACACTGCAAGCTTAACTCAATTTCACCACCATGTGATCTGTTATATAATACAGGAGACCCTTCAGCTAGCACTGAAATGCAGCCACCTCTGGGATGGTACACGGCAGCTGTTTAATAGTGCAATGCAGTGATCAAAAAACCAAACAATTACCAGAAATGGCAAAGAATTCTTTGTCCTATGAAATCAGAAGGGTTTTTTTTTTCCCCTTTAGAAGTACAGCTATAAACCATTTCCTGAACTGGCATTTGGTTAAGTAGCTTTAACGTGCTTTTTGAACTTAGTGAGTCATATGTACATAAAGGATAATTACACGACTCACTGATCACAGAGTTCAGATTTGGATAAATAGCCTGTCCCCACATATCTTAGAGGAATTGCTATGCTGGGACCCATTTACAGCAGTGGCAGCCTGGTCTTGCAGCACAGAAAGGACCCGACTCTGTTCCTTAATCATTCTTGAGCCTTGGATTTTAGCAGTGCTATAGCACAGTGCAGGGAAGTTGAATGATTTGGGAATGACAGTGCAAGCCCAAACCACGTTCAGTACATCAGGGTTACAGCACAGAAGTGCCAGGGTTTCACAGGGAGAGAGAGTCGTAAAAACAGGCCTGTTATTTTACACACACACACACACGCACACGCACACACACGCGCACACACACACAGTTTCCGGTAGAAATTTTACTAATGTTTTTGAACTTCTTTATAGCAGATTTTTGTTGCAGGGCATTCAGTTGGGATTTTTTTTTAAAGGAAAAAGGACAGAATGTCCTAGCAAGAGGAGAAAAAACATGAGCTAATGTTTGATTGACTTCCGTTGACATGTCAGGCTAGCTTTTCTGCCTTCACCAGGAGAATATTTCTGTTCTACTTCCCAAAACAAGTTCTCTCTAAACTTGTTTACCTCCTAAGAAGTTAGGTCCTCCTGTAATAAACACAGGTAGGAATTCAGCCTTTAAAAAGCCACAAACACAAGTTTGTTTTTTGTTTGTTTGTTTGGTTGGTTTTTTTGCTATTCACTTAAACAACTTTTTTAAAATTAGTTTCTTACAGACCAACTGTCAAACTGATAGTTAGAGAAAAGGCTGTTTCCAAAAGGAACTCACCTGCATGGCATTTCAGATTTGCAAATTACTGTTGATCTTTTTGAATGCTACTCTAAACATGTTGCAGATGGGAGGAAAATATTCACATACCACTCCAAGCTGATCTACTGCAGCTATAAAATAGTTTCCAACTTGCTTCAAAGCCTCAGTCAAACCAGTCAGCCACTATTTAAAGGATCAAACTCAACACTCTGTAGTTGCAGAAATGCTAACAGAAACCCCAAAGCAGCGCAGGCAGTTCTGGAGTGCAGAAAAGCTGGAACGTACCTTCTTTCTGAGCCTCACTTGTCCTGTAATGATGGCCAGAACATACATTTTTATAATCAAGATCGTGCTGTAGAAAGTAAACGATGCAAACACTTCATTTTCCATCATTTTCCAGAAAGGCGGGAGAGGATTTGTGTTGCCTTAAGCAGGCTGCAGCCACTAGCAATCTGAGTCCCCTGTGAGAAAAGGGGATGGATCACTGTTTTATTCAAGTCTAAACATAAACTTGTACACCCACAGACCGCCTCTTGCTTGGTACATCCAGGATTGCAAGAGCTCAACCATATTTTAATTCCTCAGATCTATAGATGCAAAAAATCCACAGTTAGCAAAGACAGACGCCTCCCTCCCAAACACACACACTTTGAACCCTAGAATGGACCCATTTCACGTTATTTTCATAAAATATTGGTGACTCTCTGGATAGCAAGCCCTGGCCCTTCTTCAGTGCTCCAACTGGGGCATTTTTGACAATATAGCTACATCAAACAGGGGTGTTTGATCCCCGACCAACACAGTTGTGCTGGCACAAGCCCCCAGTGTAGCCCTAGTTATCCCAGCCAAAATGTGCTTTGGCTGGTATAGCTTTGTTACAGTTCTGGAGGGAACCGAACCTGCTCAAGGAGTTCTGTCAGGTCTCAACCCGCCCAGTTCTCTGTGGGAGGCAACCTGCATCCCTCTCCCTGCAGATCGGGGCTTTAGGCTTCCAGTCTCCCCACAATTCACTGCGATTAACCCAGCGGGAGAGACCTTAGCCGCACCCGTGGCTCGCTCACTCTCAAAGGTCAATGGCAGGGTCACCAGTGACCAACCAGCCTTCCCAGAGCACCAAAGCACTACTGAGAAAGCAGGACAGCAGTCTACCCACATGCTAGCTTACCTGGCGTCGCCCTCTTCCACAGGGGCCCTCCAGGTCCAGTCCTTCCAATCCTGCCAGCAGGCCTTTCCCTCTCGCTTCCAGTTTCAGATCAGTGCTTCGGGTCTAAGCGAGGATCACTCAGCCAGTTCAAGCTGACCCTTTATCCACAAAAACTCCTGCGTCTCCCTGGGCCTCTTGAATCTGCTCGGACCAGTCTGTACAATTCCCCCCAGGGGCTGCTACTTCTCTGGAGTGATTTACCTGTCCGGGGATTTGCAGTAATTAGCCCCCCCTTGATATTAATGCCTGCGCGAAACTCAGCTAGAATACGGTCCCTCACTCACACAGACACAAGGTTCCATGGCAATTCCTGGGTGTCTGGCACATCTTGCTGTAATAGTCTCTTTAAATCACCACATTTCCAAGGTCTCACCTCTGGCACAAGCTTGTTTGCTTTTGGAGGGCGTGGCGGGCGGGGGAGGGAAGTGTGGGGGGGTCTCCCATAAGCTATACTGGTTTTGCTGGTAAGCTGTGTCCACAATAAGAGCGGTGTGCTGGTATGGTAGATTGGCGTCGCTGTCCTGGCAAAGCACGCCGAGCGTACACCTGGCCTGGGCTAGCATTGTAGCTTTAATGCTTTCTTGACATTTTGGGTCCGGCCCTCCCTGTTTGAGGCAATGAAAAAGCTCCTGATAACGTGCATGGTGCAGGATCAGGTGTTATGTCTCCTCACTGTAGCCCAGGGTGGGCAAACTATGGCCCGGGGGCCACATCCAGCTCTTCAGACATTTTAATCCAGCCCTCCCACTCCCGCTGGGGAGCAGGGTCTGAGGCTTGCCCCACTCCACATGGCTCCCGAAAGCAGTGGCATGTCCCCCCTCCAGCTCCTATGCGTAGGGGCAGGCAGGGGGCTCCACATGCTGCCCCCGCCCCAAGTGCCGCCACCGTAACTCCTATTGGCCAGGAACCATGGCCAATGGGAGCTGCAGGGGCGGCGCATGCGGACGGGGCAGCGCGCAGTGCTGCCTGGCTGTGCCTCCGCGTAGGAGCTGGAAGGGGGACATGCCGCTGCTTCCAGGAGCTGCTTGAGGTAAGCGCCGCCCGGAGCCTGCACCCGTGACCCCCTCCTGCACCCCAACCCCCTGCCCTAGCCCTGATCCCCCCTGCCCTCTGAGCCCCTCAGTCCCAGCCCAGAGCACCCTCCTGCACCCCCAACCCCTCATCCCCAATCCCACCCCAGAGCCCGCACCCCCAGCTGGAGCCCTCCCCCCTCCCCCCTGCACCCCAACCTCCTGCCCCAGTCTGGAGCCCCCTCCCACACCCTGAATTCCTCATTTCTGGCCCCACCCCAGAGCCCGCACCCCCTCCTGCACCCCAACCCCCAATTCTGTGAGCATTCATGGCCTGCCATACAATTTCCATACCCAGATGTGGC